CTCACTGCCATCATCACAGGTAAGTCCTGACCGTTTATGATCTGTTCTGTTGCATTTGACGGTGGAGATTGCTCGGTTTTGAGGCGGTTTTGCTCGTTACCGGGAGAAGAAATGTAAAGCTGGAGACGAGAGTTGTGTAGGATCAAACATTGCTCGATATTGAGATGGTCTTGAAGAGCCTTGCCTTGGAAGAAAAGGGTTTGTTTAGAAACAGGGATACGTTGATACTTTTCGATCTTTTGTTTGATCTCTAACACTGTGTCCCAATAACCCACTTCAATGGAGAATGTTGAGCCTCTCTGAGTCTCGAAGATCACATCCATTTGTGTGTATGTATCAATGGTGTTTCAAAGATCTATGGAGACTGATGAAGAAGATGATGAGTGAAGAGAGAAAGTGATGTCAAAGTTTGAGACTTTTTTCTTTTTTTTTTTGTAACGAAAGTTTCCTCATTATGTGTTAACTACTGACCTATTTCCATGGATTCTTGATTTTTTTTTTTCTTTTCTTTATTCCGTTCTCAAATTTTGCTATTTTTGTCAACAAAAACAATTAGATAAATCATTTGCTCAATCTTGAAAAAGATCCTAAAAATACGAAACTTATGCTCTGTTTTTGGATATTTTAATTTTTAAATCAATTAGATTCGCAACTATATGGAAACCTAAGATCTTCTATATATTAAAAAAGAAGCATTGGGATGCCACTTTTGCTTAGGTGTCATCACCATATTTTTTCTCAACATTTTTTATTTAATTAATTGTTAATTTTAAACTACTATTATTCTAATTACCAAACACAAATTTTAGTCATTTATTTGTTCAAGTTATCCCTACTTCCAAACATAGTTAGAGAGTATATTTTATTTAATAAATCAGTCTAAACCATTAATCGAAAGTAAATGCTCTTCCTTAGCAAACTAAATTGAACCATTGGAAAAATAATATGCAATTGAAATCTTTTATATGACTAATTATTATCATCCATGTTTCAAACATATGCAAATAATTATGGTTTTAAATAAATTATCATTAAAACTTATACTCTACCTAAAACCATGTAAATTAATCTACAAAACAAAAAAATATAAATCATATTGTAACAATACATTAGCTTAGATAAAAAAATATTATGCATATACATTCATAATAAATTAACACCAATTATGTTAATATTAAAAAGTGGACAAATTAATCATTTAACATCGTCATACAAAAATAAAAGTTCATTATACACATCAATCAATGTAAACAATGTCACTAACTAATCAAATATATTGTTTTTTAAATTTGATTCAAATCAAAGCATGTTTCGTCATTAGTCTAATTCTACATAAATTGAATCTCTAGAAAGGAAACCATGTAAATTGAACCAAATGATATATCAATTACGTGATTTATTTTTTCTAATTGATTCAAATTAATTACGTGATTTTTTTTTCTAAATTTTATTTGATATCAATTAACTTTAGAATATTTCCTCTGAATTATTTCATTTTTTTTCTTTAATTTGTGTGCATTAATTATTCGATTCAGTATCAAATCAGTTAAAAAGTGGATAATAAATATTCCTATATCATATTTAAATGAGATTTTAGCATCATTTTGGTTTTGTTTTTTTAAATATGTCGCATTAAATATAGGACCCTTAAATATATTTAAAATTTGAAAATTAAAATTTAGATATTCTGTTAAGATTTGATTTGATTTTATTCACAAAGACCTAAAATTGTTTAATATGAATTTCCTATAAATATAATGTTAAATTGTAGAAATTCACAAAGATGCAACAATAGTTTGTTYATCTACCTCTTGAAGATGTTGGAGATGAAGAGGRTGATTTGACCATRACAARGTGGATAAATGCCATTTGGAATCTGATACCGTTCGAGAAAAATGAGCAAAGAGATTTGAATTTTGTAATCATGGCTGGTTATATCTTATAAATTTTTTTCGTTGTTGTTACTTATATCTTTTAAATTTGTTTGGGTTTTTATTGGTGATAGTAATTTAGCGTACATAATAGTTCTTCTATGTCAGAATCCACCGTGATTTCGAAGAATTGCTCGAAGAGTACCTAGAAGTGGAGTAAATGTTTGAAGATGAAACCATTTTTATGTTCCGTCGAGCCAGGGCAAGCGTTGTCAAAAGTCAAAACTATAAAAGTTTGATATGACCAGTTGGTTTAATTAAATATGTAATGTCGATTAAATTACTTTGCTAGATTGGTTTTGGTTTATTCTTGGTTTATTATCTTTTTGTTTTGAGAGAGATTTTTGGTTTACTATCACTATTTTTAATCATTCTCTTCAAAAGATCACATGTTTTTTTTTCTAAAATTTTAATTTCACCTAAATATTGTTTGAGAACATTATATTATAACAATCTTTGTAATACCTAAATATTGTTTGAGAGTAATGTATTATAACTATTTTGAATTTGAATAAGTTAGGATGATTTAAAATTTCAGTTTAGTTAAGAGATATAGTTTGAGAATACTTTATAATATCGTTTGAAATTTGTAGGCTAATCTTTGTCAAATATGTGCTAATCCTTTAAATGTAAATTAAATACTTTTATAAATCACGTAAACTCTATATTATTTTAAGTATAACAAATTATGATTGGTCTTAAAATGGGTATGATAACTTTTTACTAACTAAAAATTCAAAGAACTATTGTTTTGAATTATTTCACGAATGAAACATATTTCTATACAAAACAATCGCAAATTCACATATTTTAAGCAAATCTAAGATTCCTTAGAACTACAAATGATTGTTATATAAATTGTATTCGATAATTTTTAACTATATGGACTACCTAGAAATATGTTCTGTTTATGTATACACATTTTTTACCCTCCACAAATTCGAATATACACAAACATATTCATTTTAACCCGCGCACAGCACGGGTATTATCCTAGTTCGAGTTATATCCTGTTCTAGATAATTGATATCAATTGGTTTTACCCCAAAAAAAAAAAATCTTTACTCGGTTTTTGTTTTTGTTGTTGTTATATAAAATTTTAATGGGGCAATTACAAAAATATCACTTTTTGTCTGCACATTTGCAAAAATGCCACTTAGGGGTGTCCATTTACAAAAATGCTACTAATTATAGATTTA